TTCACTAACATCACCAGTTATCTTTGCCCAAATCTGGAAACTCCCAATTGAATTTAACTTGTTCAGTTCTCTGAAACTTCTTACAAACACACTCTCCTCCACAATGGAAATGGCATATCCTCCCACATATATCACCAAGCACTCTGCTCACAGAGGAAAAAAGGCAAAATGTAAAAGTAGATGGACTGGTGAGTTAAATATATTAGGAAAAAAATAGTAAAGCAAGTTCACCAACATCTCAAACCAGGCTTTGAGAAATGACCCACAGCTGAATTGTGTTTGGCCCAGTAGGTGTTCTAATTAGAAACCAACATTTAAAAGAAAAAGAGGTTCTTTCAACATTAAAGTTAAAAACATAAATAAAAATAGCCCAGCCGGCATGGCTCAGTGGTTGAGCATCGACCTATGAACCATGGTTCATAGGGCATATGCCTGGTTTGCAGGCTAGATCCCCATTGTGGAGCATGCAGAGGCAACCGATCAATGCTCTCTCATCATTGATGTTTCTATCTCTCTCTTCCTCTCCCTTCCTCTCTAAAATCAATATTTTAAAAATAAAGTAAATAAATAAATAAGAAATGTTAAAGAGATTATCTTGGGGTGGTGAATACACGATACAATATACAGATGTATTAAAGAATTGTACACCTGGAACATATAAAATTTTATTAACAAATGTCACCCCAATAAATTCAGTAAAAACATAATAAATAAATAAACAAACAAATGAGATATAGAGGAACCTAAGCCCAAGTTCCTGCAGAGTAACAAAGGGATGGAGCTGAGTAGCAGCTGGTCCTTAGATGGGGCACGTGCTATCTGCTATTTCTGACAATTGCCCACATTTATTATCCATCTGGCCTACTTCACTGATTGAGCAGCAAAAATCATGGGGACATGAGAATTTGCTACTCCTAACCTATAGGACAGTAAACCAAGTCAATAAAGATTTTTGTTTGCTGTTTAAGAGTGATCTTTTGTGAGCACCTACACTGGACAAGTTATCTTCTCCCAGGTCACTTTTAGTGTGATGATTTTCTTAAAAGGTTCCAAATAATTTGTTGTGGTCTTTCAGAAGACCACAATAGTTAAGAAAAATCAGTTAAAAGTGACTGAAAGGCCATTTGGAATAGAATGCCTGAACTAAAAGATCAAAATCAGTGGGGTATTCAATTAACAGAGGTTAAAATCCCATAGATGCTTATGTTAAAAAGCATTTATGACATATACAGAATAAAAGAGTAGTTCTTCACAAGAGTGATATGTTTACATGACTAAAAAGTATTTCACAGTTAGAAAGCACTTCCAATACTTCACATACTAATATTCTTTTTTTGTTTGTTTGTTAATCCTCACCCAAGGATATTTTTCCATTAATTTTTAGAGAGAGTGGAAGGGAGAGGTAGAGACAGCGAGAGAAACACTGATGTGAGAGAGACACATCAATTGGTTGCTTCCCGCACGTGCCCCAACCAGGGCTGGGTATTGAGCTTGCAACCAAGGTACGTCCTTGACTGGAATCAAACCTGGGACCCGGCAGTCCATAGGCCAACACTCTATCCACTGAGCCAAACCAGCTAGAGCTAATATTCTAATTTTAATCTGATGTTGATAAAACCCTTGTGCTGTAAGGTTGGCTAGGCAGATCTTATTGCCCCTCACAGATAGCAAAGTATAAAAAAGACAAGAGCCTTCACTAAGGTCACCCTAGTTAATATGGCATAGATAGGCTCAGAATCCAGTTGTGTTAACTCGTAAGTCCTGTGGCTCCTTCCATTACAATACACTGCCTCTACTGTCTCTCATCTACTACTGTCCTACAAAGGGTAGAAAAGCTATTCAGGGATTACAGAGAAACGTGGTTCAACAGGAGACTGGAAGTATCCATTCAATGACTCTGCACCAAAGTCTACAAAATTCATTCTGATTTCAAGAACAGAACTGGCCCTTCACTCACTTTCAGATCCCCAAAGGAAAGTCATTCATTTCTATGGAACTGCTTGGCACTGCATTTGTATATCATACATATCTCTTGTCTTACCAATTATTTTGAAAGATTTTCCAGGAGACTGTTATGCTGCATTTTGCGTCCAGTGTAAATGCTCAATACTTCATTATTTATACACAAAATTTAATAAATAACTCATCTTTCATTTCAAGAAACAAAGGCTAGAAACAGCCTTCATTAATTTTCAGATATAATGACAAAGACATCTAAATTGTAATATGAAGGAAACAAAAATAAGAAAAGGTAGCTAGGGATACAAGTTTTGTGTTTATAAACCTTAAAGAATTAAGCCCTCTTTTTTCTCATCAGCTGAAAAAATAATTAGAAAAAGAAAATCTAACTTTAGAGGGTTAACATGATTTTACATATAATATTTAAAATATTTTTTTTTACTTAAAAATATAAAAATACATATAGACATCTGAATTTGCTACCCCTAAGCACCAATAAAAATCTTTGTTTTAGCTTAATGATTTTCGTGTTTTTAATCCTCACCCAAGGATATATTTAGTGATTTTAGAGAGAAAGGAGGGAGAAAGAGAAACATCAATTGGTTACCTCCTCTACGTGCCCTTTTAGGTTTATGCACATAAAGCCTTCATGAGGCATGGCATCTTATTTATTTATTTATTTATTTTTGTTAATCCTCACCATTTAAAAAAATTTTTTTATTGCTTTCAGAGAAGAAGGGGCAGGGAGAGATAGAGAAACATCAACGATGAATCATTGATTGGCTGTGAGGAAAGGCATTTTAAATCTTTACTTAGAATGAAAATCAGCTCTAGCCAGTTTGGCTCAATGGCTAGAGTGTCAGCCTGCAGACTGAAGGGTCCCAGGTTCGGTTCCGGTCAAGGGCACATGCCCAGGTTGCGGGCTCGATCCCCAGTAGGGAGCCTGCAGGAGGCAGCCAATCAATGATTCTCTCTTATCATTGACTAGAGGCCCTTTGCACGAAGATTCGTGCAATATGCCTTCTTTCCCCTGGCTGCCAGCACCAGTTTTCCTCTGGCACCAGGGACCCAGACCTTCACTCTGGCCACGGCCTTCCATCTTCGCTCTGGACACAGTCTTCACTGCGGCTGGAGCCTTCAGTCTTTGCTCCTCGCTCCGACTGGAGTCTTCAGTCTCCGGCCAGAGCTGCTCCTGTAGCTCCTTCCGCCCCCCCCCCCCCCCCCCAAAACTTGAACGCCGACGGGCTCCTAGGTTCCAGGGGGCCACCTTGCCTGTGGCCCGACTTTCCAATCACAATCACGGGCCGCAGGCAAGGCGGCTCCTGGGTCCCGGGGTGCCACCTTGCCTGCGGCCCGGTTTCCGATCACGATCACGGCCGCAACGTCCTGCCGCCCAGAGCCGCACACAGGGGTCCCGGCTGGGGGCGGAGCTTAGGTGGCACATTGGCACCGCCAAGCCCCACTGCCCAGGGCCGCACACAGGGGTCCCAGCTGGCAGCGGGGCTTAGGCGGCACACGGGGGCCCAGATGGCAGCTCATGCTGGCTCACCCTGCCTGCAGTATGCAAATTAGCCGCCATCTTTGTTGGCGGTTAATTTGCATATTGTGCTGATTAGCCAATGGGAGGTGTAGCAAAGGTACGGTCAATTACCATGTTTGTCTATTATTAGATAGGATGTTTTTCTCTCTCTCTCCCTCTCACTTCCTCTGGGGGTGGGGAATGAAAATCAGAGAGTAAGTAGGTAAAATAAAAATCTAGAAAAGAAATACAGCCCCTTAATTTGGATTAGAACAAGAGCAACATTTTATCCCTGCACAATGACAATGCCTGGATATACACCAGTCAGTGGAAACTTAATTTTACACATCAACTAATTTCAGAACACTTATTTTTCTCTGTCAAGTACTATCCAAGGACTCCCCAGCAAGACTTAATACCATGCTACTAATAATTTACTATAGCACCATTTACAAGAGCAGGTTTTTGGAAAACTAAATCATTTGGGGATTGGTTAAATAAATTGTGGTATGTCCATACAATGGAATACCATGCAACCTTTAAAAAAAGAGAGAAAAACCTCTCTTTGTATGTTGTATTTGTTTGTTTGATTAAATATGTTTTCATTGAGTTTTTGAGAGAGAGAGGAAGGGAGAGGGAGAGAGAGATAGGAAACTTTGATGAGAGAGAAACATCAACATCAAATGGCTGCCTCCTGCACATCCCCTATGGGGTATTAGGCATGTGCCCTGACGGGGAATCAAACCAGGACCTCCTGTTACATGGGTTGACCACTGAGTCACACTGGCCAGATTTATATTTGTTTTTAATCCTTGATTTTAAAAAACTTATGGTTTTAATGTTGCTTAGCTTCAGTTTGAAGTGCAACTTTCACTAATAACTGCAATAAAAAGAAAAGCTTTGCTACAAAAAGGAAACAATCTATTGTGGCACAGAATATCAGAAGTACATAAACTTTTAAGGTAAACAACACTTTCAAAAAAATGTCATGCTGCTTCTAATTCTGATCTCAGGGGCCTAGAAGTACACACATTTATTCTCTTAACCCCTGAAGAGGCAGGAAGGGTTGAGAACTACTACACCAAGGACATTAAAGTAGCATTCTCAATGGCAGTGGAAAGGGCAAAGGATTCAAGCTAGACAGATCTTGATATGCAGCCTAGTTCTTGCCACCGGGTGACCTTAGATCAGTTCCTTAACCTTGAGCTCGGAGCCTCAGTTTCTCCATCTATAAAATGTGGTCAATACCACTTACCTTGTAGTTTTGTTATAAGGATTGGAATTAATATATGTTAAGCAAACTGCCTGACTCTAGAAGGAATAAAATAATGATGGCTATTCTTATAGCCATCACAAGCCCATTAGAATGTTTATTTGACTATCTATAACCATTTATTTCGATTCAATTTATGAGAACAAGATAAGGTGGCCAATGGATATTATATGCTCTCTCAACCGATCACAGAAAGAAAATAGGCCAATAGGATAAAATTACCTAGGTGAAACACTTTATTATACTCACATATTTCATTTCAAACTTCTTAGCCAACATTTCCACTTCTTGCCTCTCTTTATGCTCATCATTAAATGGGTCTTCTGTGTGAATGGGCTTCTTCTGATTCAATGTGAGTGGGAAAAGAAATAGAAGTATTAGTATTAATTCAATCAGAGTTGAACATATCCTTAAATTTAATAATGAGAATCATTTTTTCCAAATATTAACAAATAATAATTTAAAAGCATTTAAAAATAACTAGAAAGAAATGTTGGTTTGTAATAAAAAATATTTACAGTTTTAACTGATTTTTATACATTGTAAATTTTTTTTGGTGGATAAGAACTTAACAATGCAAACTGTCGCTTCTGTAAAATGATTGTATGGTCGGTCACCCCATTCAAAAGAAGGCAAAAGAACTCTAAGAAAATTAGGTAAAAATAAAACCCCCACTTATAACTATAGTTTGAGATCGTCCCAACAAAGATTAACTGCTTTAGTCAGGAAATGCTTCTAAAGGAATCTCTAGGTTATTAATTTAGAGTCAGCATTTAATCATCTGCCCTGTGTTATCACTAGGTTATCGATAGCTGCTTTGGCTTTCTGCTGAGGCCCAGCATCAACCTCTACATCGCCTACATCCTGTCAACGGATATCCAGTCAGGGAATACATTTCACTTTTAAACAAAGCTAGAAAAGTGAAATAACTGCAAACAGAAAACATTACAGTATACTTCTAGCAGGGGAGAGTGAAAGTTTATTATAGTATTTATTAATCACACACAGCTAGGATCCCACATTTTCCATTTTTACCAAAACAAAGTATAAATAAACAAAACAAACTAAAAAATAAATCACATCTTTTACTAAAGTTTACTATTTTAACAGAAACATTTCATACATATGGCTTTTCAATATACAAAAAAGCCAAAACAAAGAGCTACAAAACAATTGACTAGAAAGTTAATTTTTTTTAAAAAAGGGAGGCTACATGTTTTTATTGAAGTAGCATCTCAAGTAATTAATAATGAAAGTACGTGAAAATTTGAAATACTGGAGACAGATTTGGTTAACCCTGAAGGGCAAGTGAAAAAATGCACAAAGGACAAATATTTGCACACTGTGAAACTGAGACACTTCATTCTGGATACAAAGGCTGAGATATAATCAGTCTAAAAAATATGACAGAAAAAATGGACAAGATGAATCCAAAACAACTCATCATACTTAGGACATTTAGAATAAAGGGATAATCATTAAAGTTTAAAGGAAATAATTTTAGAATCAATTTTTAAAATTATTATAATAACTAATAAACTACAGAATCCTTTATCCCAATAAGAGTTACCAATGGAAAATATAAACATGGTCCGAAAGGAAATATCCTAGCCAGAATAGATTAATAATAAAATAAGAAATACTAGGCATGTTCAGGGTACGACCTTATGTTGAGACTAAAGTTAAGGACATTAAGGACAGTGAGCAACCACCATGCCTTGCCATTATAAACTGTTCATGTCACTGTGAAGTCCAAATATTAGGTCTTACTACTGGTCTGACTAGTTTTACATGTGCAAACAAACACTTTTTTTTTAAAAAATAAGAACACCTTATATGACATTCTAAAATATCTTATGTAGACTTTATATAGGCATCAAAAGTAAATCTCATATTTACTCAACAATCTACAAATATAACTTTACAAAACTTACTCACTTTTCTTTCACAGTTAAGAAATAACTCCCTACCTATAATCAAGGTTCTAAGTAAGTTGTATGATTTTTCAGGTGAAAAAGATCTGAAAGTTAGTAAATATCGAAATTACCAACTGCCACCAGGCAAAATTGAGACAGTAATTTTGTTCTTTGATCTTAACTGAAAACCATTTTCAGGAGATCTTTCATATGTGTTAACCAAAATATGCAATATAAAAAGCAGTGGGCCCTGGCCTGTGTGGCTAGCTGCGTGGTCAGCAAACTGCGGCTCTTTGGCCCCTTGAGTGTGGCTCTTCCTAAGCCTTAGGAGTACCCTAATTAAGTTAATAACAATGTACCTACCTATATAGTTTAAGTTTAAAAAATTTGGCTCTCAAAAGAAATTTCAATCGTTGTACTGGTGATATTTGGCTCTGTTGACTAATGAGTTTGCCGACCACTGGGCTAGCTTGATTGAGCACTGTCCCATGCACAGAGAGGTCACCAATTCGACTTCTGGTCAGGGCACATGCCAAGTTTCAGGTTTGATCCCCAGTAAGGAGTATGCAGGAGGCAGCCAATCGATGTTTCTCTCTATCATTAATGTTTCTCTCTCTCTGATTTCCTCTATCTCTAAAATCAATTGAAAAAAATTTCTAAATTAAAAAAAAATACATTTTTTTCAAAAGGCAATGGAATATTATAGAATTATATAACTGTATAATCACGTTAACATGATTATCTTTATTTTTCCTTTTATAGTAAACTAGAGGCCTGGTGCACGAAATTCGTGGGGGGGGGTGCTCAGTCCAGCCTGCACCCTCTCCAATCTGGGACCCCTCGGGGGATGTCTGACTGCAGGGATCGGGTCTAAAATGGCAGTCGGACATCCCTCTTGCAATCCGGGACCACTGGCTCCTAACTGCTCCCCTGCTGGCTTGATCACCCCTCTAACTGCTCCCCTGCTGGCCTTATTGCCCCTAACTGCTCTCCCCTGCCAGCCTTATAGCCCCTAACCGCCTCTGCCTCAGCCCCCGTCCCCGTGACTTTGTTCGGAAGGATGTCTGGATGGATGCCCAGAAGATGCCTGGTCTAATTAGCATATTACCCTCTTATTAGTATAGAAAATGTTCAATGAATCATTCTGGATATACAAAAAGCCAAAACAAGCCCAGCCGGTGTGGCTCAATGGCTGAGCATAGACCTATGAACCAGAAGGTCACATGCCAGGGTTGCAGGCTTGATTGTGAGCTAAATCCCCAGTGGGGGGAGTGTAGGAGGTAGCCAATCCATTATTCTCTCTCATCACTGGTATTTCTATTCCTCTCTCCCTCTCTAGAATCAATAATTTAAAAAAAAAAAAAAAAAGCCAAAACAAATTCATGTTCGGTTTTTCTGGTTTACTAGGAGTCAAAATATTTTTTCTTTTGTAGCAATTACTGCCAAAATGTATTCCTAAATTGTACTATTTCCCTTTAGCCAGAAATGGTGAACAAATTAATCTTTCAGGATAGAGATGATTGCAATGCCTCAGTCATCATCCTGGACCACTTAATGAGGACTCAATACTCTACAGAAGTAACGAAGGTTAAGGGGTTTAGCTAACCTGTGTCCTGACAACCTGGAAGGATATTTTGCCAACATTTGCTCATTTAATTTCACTTTTCCTCATTAATAAAAAATATAGAGTATAGAAAAAAATTCTATACTGCATTCAGTTAATTAGGGTTTTATTGTTCATTTTGTATTTATGAAGGGGGATGATTTAAGTACACCTCAATACAGATGGTGTTCACAGGTAACACATTTTTTATACCTATACCTATCAACTTAAGGATCTAAAGCTAAAATTTTCTTATTCAATGATAGATGGCTATTTCAAAATTTTAGAATCTTTTTCTTTTAACGTTTATAAGATCTCTCTTCCTCCCCTTTCCACTCTTACTCTGCTATATGGTATGCTGTTCAATTACAATAACTCAAAATTAAAACTATTTAGAAAATATTACAACATCCCTAAAAATAACTGGATTCCCCCTAAAGGGAAGAAAAACCAAATTTGGGAATTATCACTTTCCAGACCAATTATAATGTCCACACTTTGCTTTTTAATGGTCTCTCTTCCTAGGATTTCCTTTCATGGGTCTAGGACAACTTTATTTTAGAAAAGTATTTTCTATAATTATGTAATGAATATGTTCATTGGAAGCAATCATAGGAAAATCTGACAAACCTTTGCTGCAAAGATGCATTAACGTCCTCCTTTGTAAAATGGAGATAATGGTTCCTACCTCATGAAGTTTTGCTGCACAAAACTAGATAAACCATGCACCATACTTACAACTGTGCCTAGCACACTGTAAGAAGTAAACGTTAGATGTATTTTCACTCAAAAAGGATGCTTTTCATCTGCAATTTATAACAGATTAAGAAGTAAAACTGCAACCTACTTAAATTAGAAGATGAAATACAATTTATTTGAAAAATACAGCAATCCAATATTTTCAAAAATATTTTGGGGGAAAAAGTGACATAACATTTATAAGTAACAGGGGCACTAAAATGAGCTTAATAGGCAAAATGTTATGAGGAAGTAACCAAAATCATCTCTACCCTTAATTCATTTTGGTTGAAAACATTTAGTAATGATTTGACCAAACAGCATTTGTAAATAATGATCAAAAGATTAGTTGGCCATAAAATAAAGAAAATCTAGTGACACTGTTTAAAATTATTTTTTAAACCAAGAAGTCATTCATTTCAACTATAAAGATAGTTGAGGATTGCCCAGCTCGTATGGCTCAGTAGATGAGTGTCGACCAGTGAACCAGGAGGTCACCGTTTGATTCCCAGTCATGGCACATGCCCAGGTTGCTGGCTCGATCCCCAGTGTGCAAGAGGCAGCCGATCAATGATTCTCTCTCATCATTGATGTTTCTATCTCTCTCTCCCTCTCACTTCTTCTCTAAAATCAATAAAAAATATATATATATTTTTAAAAAAGATAGCTGAGCCCTGACCAGTTTGGTTCAGTGGATAGAGCTTCGGCCTGCGGACTGAAGGGTCCCAGGTTCGATTCCGGGTCAAGGGCATGTACCTTGGTTTCGGGCACATCCCCAGTAGGGGGTGGTGTGCAGGAGGCAGCTGATCAATGTTTCTCTCTCATTGATGTTTCTAACTCTCTATCCCTCTCCCTTCCTCTCTGTAAAAAAATCAATAAAATATATATATTTTTTAAAATAAAAAAGATAGCTGAGGATAAAAACAAGTGATTTCTGGAGTCCACTAGACCTGTGCTAAAGCAAAACCTAATAAAGAACATAACTTCTAAACAAGAGGAAACTATTCTCTTATTACTGTTACTCTATCATTTCCCTTTTTAGTTTACTTCCGAAAATCACAAACGCATGACAAAAATTACAATTACCAACAAACCTCTCTTCTATCTCCATTGTTTACCAGTTCCATCAAAGGCACAGCTTATACATTATCAAACAAGTTTTTAAAAATTCAAAGCTAACATTCTTTTCATCCTTCTCCAAAAATTACAATGGCCGAGTGCAATACCCTCCAACTCAAACTTATGAACTAATGATATGCTTTCAAATAAGAAAGTGGTAGTTGGTGCCAAAGGAAACAGGAGAGTCACCTTCCCATTCAATTACAATACGAAACCCGGAGAAAAACAAACAGAGAAAGGCTTACCAATACTCACACAGGAGAGAAAAGCAAGTAACCAGGTAACTAACACTTCCCCTCCATTTTTAAAGCGGAATTCTTAGTCTGAAAATGTCTAGATCATTTTTAAATCCCCTTCCATTAAGAAAAACCCTGCACGCTCCCCCAGCGCGCCTCAGCGGCCACAGCGCCGAGCACAACAAACAGGGATGAAGACGGGGCTGACACGGGAGGGGACACGATTTCCCGGCCCGACCGGGAGGAGGGGCGTGTCCCCCAAGGCTCTCGCTTCCTTTCTACCGGAAAGGACAGCTGGAGCTCCACACGGAAAACCCACCCACACGACTTGCAGGGCCCTCCGAATTTGTGTGGGAAGCAAGAAGAGAGGAGGAAAATCGGCTGTTTCGAAAGGTGCGGAGGAAAACCGGCTCGGAGCGGCTTTCGGCTCACGATGGGGGTCGGTGGAGCCGGGGGTGAGGGGGAGAGCCGCGGCTCACCCCGGGAAGCGGAGGAAAACTAGCGCCAACCACTGGTCCACCCGCTCAGCCCCTGCCCCCTCCACCAGCCCTCCCTCCAGGGCGACCCGAGACGCGCAGGGTGGGCGTCAGGAAATGCAAACCGCTGGGGCAGGCGGACGGGTCCCGAGGCTCCCGGGGTCTCGGGGAGGAGGGAGGGAGCTTCTGTACCCGTTGTTCTCCGCACAGCAGCAGCTCCGGGTAACTGAACTCCACGCAGCTCTCGTCGGTCGGATCCTTGAGCACCAGCTCCAGGCGCACCGTCTCCCTCGGCGGCCTCGGCGGCGGCTCCGGCCGGGAAGCCGCCTCCCGCGGCGGGGGCAGAGCGGCAAGGGAAGCTGCGGGAGCGGCGGCGGCGGCGGCTCGGG